GAACCCAGCTCCGAACGTGACCAGACCGCTGCCGGGGATGGCCCGGCTAACCCCGACCAAGACACCAGTGCAGCCAGGGGATCTGAGGACGAGGAGAGCGCCCGCGACGGGAGCGACGTGCGGACCGAGCGGCCCCCACTGCGGAACCCACAGTTCCCTGGATATAGACCTACCTACCCTCGCCATACAGGTTCGTCGGAGCGCGATACGCTCAACCTGTTGACCGACTCACATGGGGGCCCCATGTACAAGGTCTGGCTGGGCACTGTGGACTTGGACTGTCGCGACGAGCCACCCGCCAAAAGCCTCGCCAGGTACCAGTCGGAGTTGGGTGCAGTTTTCTGCGCGCTGTGGACCGCTTACACGCGGCGCATTTGGCTCCCTGGATCCAGGGGGCCCAAATCAGACCCGAGACTGCACGCGGAAGCGACCATCAACAAGTTTCTCGATGACTGGAAGGGCTGCGGGTACAACGCCTACTTGATGGACACGCGGCACGGCTATCGCATTGACTGGGACAAACTGCGGGCCGATTACCTGCGACACACCCGACCCGACGGCAGGGGCAAAGGCAACCTCCAGCAGAGCAGCTGGCGAGACCGTGCGACAAGTTCCTGGGGCACCTGGGGTAGCTGGCAGAGCGACTGGAGTGAAGGCTGGCGCGACGATCGCTGGCAGACGGGTGGCAAGCGCGGTGGAGGCAGAACCGACGAGCGAGACGAAAGAGACACCGATGGAGAGACTGAGCTCACTCCCTATACATCCAGCGTCTAGACAGCCCGAACGATAACCTCGCTGCACACTACGTGCGGCCTTCAGCCGCCTTACCTTCTCTTTCAACCGTGCGGCAGCCCCGCTGCCCCCCCTCCCTGGTCCGCGCACTTCCTGCCTTTGGACCCAGGTGTGCCGACCAGCGATACCATCTGCTTCGCTGCGTGGGGGGGCGTAGCTCGCAGACCCTAGCTGGCCCGTGGCCCCGCTGTAGTGGTTCTCACCAGTGGCCCGAATGGCCCCGTGCTCGGCTAAGCTGCTTGGGACCGATCGGTGCTCACTCCTGAAACGTGCTTGCACCCTGGGATTCTCCATCAGACAGCGGCCTTCCGCCGCGCTTTGGACTACAGACCCGCTTGCGGCGCTCTGCCGCCCCTCCTGGCACGCACACTTCCTGCCTTTGGACCCAAGTGCGTGTGCCAGCAGTACCGTCCACACTGCAATCTCGTGTTGCGTGTGGCCATAGTGGCCCCTGGCCCCACTGTGGCTGTTTTCACACTGCCAGGCCAAGCCTGGCGCGCAGCCCTGTGGACGACGACCTGGCGGTTTTCGCCCCGTCCCCAGACTTGCGCTCAACTCCTTGGGATCTCCAAGTTGATACGGCCTTCAGCCGTGCCTACCTCGTTCTCCTGGGAGCAACGCGAGACACGGATGGGCGGGCAGTCCAGCCCCGCGGGTCGTTACGCCACGTGCGGAAGGTCCACTGGTCCGCCTGCGCCCCGCTCCGACTGGACCGACGACCTTATCCGTTTAGTGCCGCCCATCGGTGCCGTGTGTCACTACCCTGGCTGCGGCACGGCTTCGGAGTATGAAGGGCACCCGGTTCTTCTTCGTTGCTCACCCGCGCATTTAGGTGTGCGGATCTCTTTGGGGCTGTGACTGTGATGGACTTGCTGTCTTGGGTATACGACGGTTGCTGTCCTTCGAGCGCTTCCCCACATGGTGTGTGGTTCACTGGCGCTAGGTCACTTAGTTGTTCGGTGCGCGGCCATTCCCGAGCGAACTCGCGTTCTCTCAGAGTGGCTACCTGTATACCCCTGCTGCGTACAGACTACATCGCTGGTCCTCTGAACGCAGGCGCATCGCTCCGCAGTGGTCGGGTCTTGCCTTTGCTGCTCGGCCTGAGGCTTCCCCCTGCGTGTTGCGTTTTCTGATGCTGCGACGGTTCGCTGGCGCTGTCAGAATCCCCCTCCTGCTGGACGACGTCCCCAGTTTCAGTCTGCTCATACCCGTCAGACTTCCTGGATTGACTTCCCGCACGGAGATCGTTCCCTGCCTCGCGGTTGTCTCGACACGATCACGACCTGGAACGCACTGCGCGCCATTTTGGCCGCGCCCGGCTCGCCTGGACGCCTGACCTCTCAGACTCCCTGGGTTGCAGCTTGCACGACCGCCTCAGGTGACTGACCTTTCAGACTCCCTGGGATTGCACGACCGCCTGGCCCCTCAGACGCCCTTGGTTGCTGTGCTTTGCCGCCTGATCCGCGGCCCCGCGCGCGCCCGGGAATTTAGTCGCGGCCGCAGCCCGACCGTGACTGCTCGCCGCTGGCGCTTCCGCCTGCGTCTTTTTTTTATATATATATATATATATATATATATATATATATATATATTAAACACCAGCCCATCCCGAAACGATGTCCAGGCGAGTTGAGGTGATCAGGGAAGTGCGGCAGCAAAGAGGAGGACGGCCGACCCGTGCAAAGGAGTGAGGAGGAGAAGGAGGAGGTGGATGGATGGATGGATGGATGAGGGAGTGGGAAGACGGAGGATGAATAGGATGAGGAGGAGGCGGAGGAGGAGGAGGAGGAGGAGGAGGAGGAAGAGGAGGAGTAGGAGCAGGAAGGAGGGTCAGGAGGAGGAGGAGGGCAAACACAAGGGCCAGAGGTCTCTTGGATGGCTCTAGGAACCTCTTGGAGTATCTCTTGGGCGATTCTTGGGGGCCTCTTGGGACGTCTTGGGGGTCTCTTGGCGATCCTGGGGGGCTCTTCGGGGTCTTGGGTGCCTCGGGGGGGGGGCCTCTTGGGGCCTCTGAGGGTCTTCTTGGGGGCCTTCTGGGGGCCTCTTGGGGGCCTCTTGGGGCCATCTTGGGGCCATCTTGGGACCTCTTGGGGCCTGGGCGCTTCTTTGTGCCATCTTGGAGGAGATCTATCAAAGAAGAGCTGAGCTTTAATTAGCGCTGCCCCCCCAGGAGGCCAAAATGGGGCCACAACCCTGCTAAAATCAATGATTTTGGCTTCCTCGCCGAGGCTGTCTAGGACGCTCTGACCGCTCCCCGCCCCTCCTGTCCAGGTCAGTGGGGAGGGGGTAGGGGGAGGGGTAAACCCCTCCCCGAAGGGGAAGAGGGAGGGGTGGAAGAGGAAACGCCCTAAACCACCGACGCCCAGAGGGCTGGTGGGATTAGTACGAAAAGAGTGGGCACGAAGACCAACTGTGTGTCCTGTCCATTTTGAACAGGACCCGCTGTCGGCGTCGCCGCGGACGTTGTCCATTCGAGACAAGAGGTCGACTGCACTCAAGCGGCCACTGTCGGCTTTGGGCAACATGTTGCTGTTGGGTATCGTATCCGTGGTTTCGGTGCCCATTTGGGATTTGTGTTTTTCGCTCTTGTCGGACGCGTGCCTCACGGAGGGCACACGGTACCAGGCCCCGAAGTGCGTTGCCTGAGCATGTGCCATTCCCACGACCTCGGGAGCCGACCCCTTGGGCCCCCAGCCATTGGATCGGTGGATCGCTGAGAATCCGACACCTCTAAAACAGTTGACAGCTTGCTTGAGAGCTGCGAAGAAAGACCGTGGGGTAAACCGCCCCGCAATCATGGGTCAAGACCCGCCGCATGGCTGAGGTCAATTATGTCTTCGCATGCCAGGATTGTTCGTTTCGTACATGTGCGCTTCCTGGCAGCAGCTAGCAACCCATGCCTTCACCGTGCATGGTGTCCGGCGCCGCACACTTGAGCCAATTGATGTGGTGCATTGCCTCGTGCGCGTACGGTTCTTTGTCACCCGCGTCAGAGTCAGTACTCGTATTGAAGAGCGTTCTGAGAGGCGTCACGCTGTCGTCGTGCACGACTCACCACGATTGCCCAATACCGTCGTAGCGGACCAAGACAAGCGGTACGCGGAGGTCGCCAGGTGCTGTGCAAAGAAGGGCCAGAGAACTGACCATGCGGACGCCCCTGCCTGTCGGGCGGATAGTAATGGGGGGTGACCTTAATCGGGGTGAACAACATGGCCCTGAAGGAACCCTTTTGGGCCCCTCCTGGCTCCGGGTCCTCAAGGGCCCCTGTAGGGCCCTTGTCTTCACCCCGCATATGGGTCACCCCCCATTGCCACCTTCCCAAGCATTTCGGCTGGTTCGGCCTATGACCAGGGAGGCTTACGAAGCTGGTTTGAGCCACAAGTCCCCCCCGACGTCTCTTCCTCCTGCGAGTGCAGCTGGGTCGAGGCGCCTCCACAGGAGTGACGCCTGCATTCGTGCACTGTCCTTCACCCTCCCCCGATTTCAGCACACGGCTGCTCCCACAGACGGGCACGCTCCAAACCGCTACAGAAGCAGAGCCCCGTGCCCTGGGGGGCCGCGGTCGGGCTGGGGCCGCGGATCACTTCGAGGGGGAGGGAACTTGGGAGGAGGAAGGCCCCGGTTCCGCGGACGACATGTGTGCACCGTGCCGTGCTGGCGTCCCCTGAGGCGTCGTCGATCCTCGACCCAAGAGTGGACGGTGCATCGTTGTCAGTTCCTCGAAGCTGAATTGCACCGTACTGCGTTGGAGCGTGGCCTGAAAGGAGTCCAGTCATGGTGCTGAGCATCGGCGCCGTTCTCGTATTGATTTCCCAGGTCCTTGCGTCGGATCTCTGTCACAACGGGAGATAATGTTAGGTGTCGGACCCAAGGACCTTCACGGATTGAGGCGACTGGAAAAGTGCAGCTGGAAAATGGGGTCCAGTGTCGATTTCTACGACGTTGCAGTTTAATCGTGGCGCCATATCTCAAGGGAGGGGGAGATGAGATAGACCCAGACATCCGCCGTATGGTTTTTTTGTTCACGCCGTGGCCCCCCACGCAGAAGTCGGGGCCACCTCCCCGGGACAGCCTTATCCTCCCAGGTCCCCACGCGTCAGAAAATTGCCAAGCAACCTTCCGCCGGATGTCTCCCCAATGGGACATCGGGGGAGAGCGCAGAAGGCGGGGGGGGAAGGCCGACGCGGCTGCGGGCAGCTGCGCCGCAGGTGACGGTGCAGACTCCCAGCTTGTCGCAGAGTTGGCGCAGCGCCGCTGGGGAGGACGCGTGGTTCGCGGGGAGAGGGAGGCGAGGACCAAGAGCGTTGAAGCATTGTAGGTCCTCCACTAGGAGGACGCCACAAGAAGCCCTCACAACCTGCTCTTGGGACCCTCTCAGGGCGCTTTTGGGGCGATTTGGGGGGGATTGTCTTGTGGTCCTCTTGGGTCCCTCTTGGGGCTCTCGTGGGCAATCTCGGAGTCATATTGAGTACCCAGTGGCCCATCGCAAGCTAAAATGCGAAAGGCAAGCCACAAAAAGAAGTGTTCGAAGGATGTTGGCTTCTTAGGGGTGTCCTTTGGGAGCTCCCAGAGCATGTGGAGCCTGTCTGTGGCCATCTTGGGGCCTCTCGGAGGTGAGTCGGAGACTATATTGAACCATTGTCGGCTTTATTGAGCTATCTTGGATGCCATCTTGGGGCATCAGAAGCCCTGTTAGCACCATCTTTCGCCAGAAAGGCCCATCTGCCACCTCCGTCCAGACCCAGGGGAGCGGGTATGGCAAGCTAGGTGCGCTCGCGTCATATCTGACATCCTACCCCTCCCTCCCATCCCTTACCATGGCGTAGGTCCCCTCTCTACTCGCACAGTCGGATGTCGAGCAGGGCAATTGTCCCGAAAGGGTACGCGATGCATTGTAGAGCACGGCATGGCTTGCATTGCATGCCGTGGCATGGCACGGGAAATGACGCCAGCGCTGCAGCGGGAGCTCGAGTCGAAACGAGCGGAAGCGCGGAAATGAGGCCAGCGCTGCTGCGGGAGCACGATTCGGAACGAGCGGAAGCACGGAAATGAGGCCAGCGTTGCAGCGGGAGCACGATTCGAAACGAGCGGGGCCCGAAAATGAGGCCGGCGCCTCAGCGAGAGCAGCATTCTTTTTTAAATGCAGGCGAAAACCGAACTCCGGGGAAACTTGTGTGTAAAAAACAGTACGCGGGGGGGGGCGAGCACTTTCAAACCGTCATCAGGGGAAGAGGGAGAGTAGTATTCATATTTAGTAATTGTGTAGGGAGAGGGGTAGACCCCTCCCAGAAGGGGAAGAAGGCTTGGTGGAAGAAGGAATTACTCGTAAGACCACCTCAGCCCAGAGAGCTGGCGGGATTACATTGCTGCAGTGCGGGTCCCTTGTCAAACTCGTGAGATTGCCAGACGTTTCCCCGTATACCCGGGTTCAATCGATCATCTTGATCCATCTCTCACTGGTTGTAGGCCGTTCGCACCAGAGCGCCAGCGAGGACTGGTCAGACTACCACGTTGTCGGGACTTGGAACCAGTGGAAGGGCGCCAGCATGCCCGCGGACCCGCTCGACGAGGGGGTGTTCAGGTGACCCGTCGCGCACGGTCGATATAGATCCGATCGATGTTGTTCGATCTCGATCCTGGCTGGCTCAGCTCGACTCGATTCCGATATCCCGAGAATCTGATGAGGCCTGATACTTGCATGGCGCTGCTGTGCATCCTGGCGCTGCCGACCCAGTTTGATCCCTATTTCGTACCAGCAGCCCAAACCGACGCCCGTCCCGATTCGGAATCTGATTTGTCTACAAGGGCGCCCTCCAGGGCGCGAAGTTATTAGCGCTTCGCGGTTCGGCGCCGATTTCTCGGCATCCTTCTTTCCTCCTCTGGGGGGCTGCGCGAGAGCGCGAAGATATTCGCGCTTCGCGCAGCGCGAAATCAGGCGCCCGTTGTGTCGACCTGATGCTGACTGACCCCCAGCCGTGCCTCGGCGTGGCCATGTTTTGCGCTCTTTTCCTTCCCCCGCGGCGGCGGCCGCCGCCCCGGCATAGCCGTCGACATATCTTGGTCGCTCTACTGATTCACGCCAGCTTTTGCGCGCAACCTCCAGTGGATTTTCGGGGGACGTCAAGTGACCACCCACCGAACTTGGTCTCTCGCTAGGGGGGGACGGGCTCAGGGGGGAAGCATCGACCCCCGACCGCCCATTGATCGCCGATGGGAGCCTGACAGCCTGCCCCGCCCTGGAGCCTGGAGCGTGCGGATGCTCTGTCGGTGGCCCCGTCGCCAATCTATCGGCGATGCACCGCCTATTCCAGGTCGATGCTTCCGCCCCTGGGCTAGTCCACCCCTGACGTTCCCCGTCGTAGACAGGGAAGATATGGTGCATTTCTTGGGAGGTGAAATTCAGCATTGGCCCGACCCCCGCTCACCCACTGTTCGCCGATAGGGGCCCGATGACCCACCCCCACCCAGAAACGTTCGTTCTGCATCGGGGGTCGCCGACCTATCGGCGATGCATCGCCGACTCCAGGTCGGTGTTTCCGCCCCTGAGCTGACCCTCCCTAGATCATTGCCTCTCACCTCATAGTTTTGTCAGGAAGCCATGTACGAAAGAGCGCCAGTGGAATCCCTTGTAATTGAAAAGGGGGGGGGGGCTTGCAGAATCCATCCCCCATCCCCCCTTCAAGGGGGGGAGGGGGCGTATTCGGACCCCCCCCCTTGTCAAAAGAGGGGGTGAGGAGCTGGATTTTTTTTCGGGTTGACAATGTTTTTTTTGGTGTTCGGCTCCACCCCCCCCCAAAAAAGAAGGCCTCCACCCGAAAAAAAAAACCTCCGCGGATTTTTGTTCGTGTTGGCCGGGTTTTCATTTGAGTTGGGGGGGGAATTTTTTCGGGTGGGGTTTTCTGCGGGTTGTGAGGGTGTTTTCTCGGGTTGGGTTGCTCGAGTCGGGTATTCGAGTCTTCGGGTTTCCGAGTGTTCAGGCGTTCGGGCCTCCGGCTGCTCGGGCCTTCGGGGTCGAGGGTTTCCGGGTTCTGCTGCTTTCGGCCCTCGGGCGTTTGGGTGCGGTTACCTGGACTTCGGGTGTTCGGGTTAGCGTTTCGGTGTTCGGGCTCGGGTGTTCGGGTCAGGTTGTTCGTGTTCGGGTATTTCGGTTCGGCGTTGGGACTCGGGTTTCGGCGTTCGGTTTCGGGTGTTCGGTTGATTCCGTTAGAGTCAGAACAGGGGGGGAGGGTTGGGCTTGAGGTGTCAGGGTCAGCGTTACAGGGTTCGGGTTCGTGTGCCAGGGTTAGCGCTTCGGCGAGCGGGTCATGTACAGGGCATTAGGGCTAGATTCCTGGGTTCGTTTGACAGAGCATTAGGGCTAGGTTCCTCGGGTCCTGGCCGCCGCCTAACCCGTCCGCCCGTTAGGGTTCCGCCTTCCCGATCCGCCTTTCGCCCGTTAGGGTTCCACGCGTGCCACCTGGTACATGCGCCCTGATGTGCAAATGCGTCATACTTTAATGTCCCGCCCGCCCGGCCCGCCGCCCGTTCGCCGCCCGAGCCGCCCGCCCGTCAGGGTTCCCGCCTGCCCGAACCGCCGCACGACCGTCTGGGTTCCACGCGTGCCACTTGGCACATGCGTCATAATGTGTAAATGCGTCATACTTTAATGTCCTGCCCGCCCGACCCCGCCCGTCAGGGCCCCGCCCGGCGCCCGACCCGCCCGGCCGTCAGGGTCCCGCCTGCCGGACCCGCCGCCTGCCCGTCAGGGTTCCACGCGTGCGACCTGGCACATGCGTCATGATGTGCACATGCGTCCTACTTTAATGTCCCGCCCGCCCGACCCGCAGCCCGCCTGACCCACTCGCCCATTGGTTCCACGCGTGCCACCTGGTACACGCGCCATACTTTGCATCTGCGCCATACTTTCATGTCCCGCCCGCCCGACCCGGCGCTTGGCCGCCCATTGGGGTCCCGCCCGCCGCCTGACCCGCCCGCCCGTGAGGGTCCTGCCTGCCCGACCCGCTTTGCGCCCGTGAGGGTTCCATGCGTGCCACCTGGTACATGCGTCATAATGTGTATATGCGACGTACTTTAACGTCCCGCCCGCCTGACCCGCCGCCCGCCCGCCGCACGATCCGCCCGCCCGTGAGGGTCCCGCCTGCGTTACCCGCCGCCCGCCCGTCAGGGTTCTACGCGTGCCACTTGGCACATGCGTCATACTGTGTAAATGCGTCATACTTTAATGTCCCGCCCCTCCGTGTCCGCCCGTGAGGGCCCCGCCCGCCGCCCGACCCGCCCGGCCGTGAGGGTCCCACCCGCAGGACCCGCCGCCAGCCTGTCAGGGTTCCACGCGTGCCACGTGGTGCATGCGTCATTCTGCGCACATGCGTCCTACGTTCATGCCCCGCCCGCCGGACCCGCCGCCTGCCCAGCCCGCCCGCCCATTAGGGTCTCGCCCGCTCAACCCGCCGCCCGCCCATTAGTTCCACGCGTGCCACCTGGTACATGCGTCATACTTTGCATCTGCGCCATACTTTCAATGTCCCGCCCGCCCGACCTGCTCGCCCGCCCGCTCCGCCAGGGCCCCGCCAACCGCCTGGCGTGCCCTCCCGAGGCCCCGCCTGCCCGATCAGTTTTTCGTCCGTTCGGGTTCTACGCGCGCCTCTTGGTGCATGCGCCATGGTGCACATGCGTCATCATGTGCATATGCGTCATACATTCACGCCCCGCCCGCCCGACCCGCCGCCCGCCCGCCGCCCGACCCGCCCGCCCGGGAGGGCCCAGCCCCGACATATCCGCCCTTGGAATTCCCCAGCAGCTCTCGGAGCCATCCTCGATCTTGATTTCGCGCCGTGGGTTCATTCCTGTGCGCCCCGGGGACCGGCGCGCGCCCCCTTCCGCCCCCTCGCCCACTCCCCAGGGGAATGTTCAACTTTGAACGGCTCCCCAGAGGAGTGATCAACCTTGAACGGCTCCGTCAGCGCTAACGTTGCCTTGGAGAGGGGAGGGGGGGGGGGGCGGTCCACCGCGCCCCGTGTCAACTAGACGCGAAACCTGCCGCGTCAATCCCGCAGACCCTGTAGCGCGTGGGTGGTCTTGGGAGTTTCCTCTTGCAGCCCGCTTCTCCCCTTTGGGGAGGGGCCCCTGCCCCCTCCCCTGGGCCTGGGCGGGGGGCCCCGCGAGGTGTCAGAGTGCCCCCTTTCGCCCAAGAGCTCCAAGAGAGCCGCAGAGAGCCGACGATGACGTCCAACAGTGCACTAGATAGTCGAAGATGCTTCAAGATGGCTCCAAAGATGCTGCCCGAATGAGTCGCGCGTCCGATCTCCAGAAAGGAACCAGAACTCATGTTGAGGTTCATGCCGAGGTTTACACTACGGACTTGAAGGGCCGAGGCTCCGCGGGTCTCATGGGGGGCATTTCTCGCCGCCGCGGCTGGGCGAGGGCGCGGGGGAGGGGGGGCAGCAAGAAGGATAAGAAGGAAAGGAAGAGCGGGCAGAATCTGCGGGGCAGGACAAGGCGGAGGAACGGCACCAGGGAAGCGGGGGTTCGCTCCTGGTCCCGCATAGGCGCTGCATCCGACGAGCGCAACAGCTGGGCGGACGCTTCTCTCATAAGAAAATCATAGCGCCGTCATGGGGCGCCCGACTCGCGAGCAAGGCGGACTGGACAGGGCGGGCTTGGAGGTTCGCGAGGACTTGCCCCAGCCAGCTTCAAAACCGGCATCGCGCGTTGGTCGCGGCGCGGCAGTGCCGGAGGGGGGGCGACCCCAGCGCGTGGCCCACGCCATCCTGCTGCGCCGAAGGTAATCGCTTGGATGACCGACGGCCCCACGTCGGCCCCAGCTCGTCCACGGGCGCGCCGCGCCGAAAAAAAGACCGCGCAAGCGCGCGAGGGGGGGCCCTTCTCGCGCCGCGCGGACTACGGCGTCGACCCCCCCTTGCGCCAAGCCCCGGTGCCCGAGCAATGCGGGGGGGTTATGCGGGCTCTCGTGCCCGCGCTGAAACGTGCGGCCATGGACTTGTCCAGATTCAGGCAGCGGGGGCCTCTGGGTGCTGGCGCGCCCGAACGGATGCGCGCCGCGCCCGTGGCCGCGGGCGACGGACGTAGGCGTGCTCTACTTGGTAGCGGTGCTCCCTCTCGAATACTTCCCCGGTGACGCGCCCGTCGGGGCGCGGCTCCGTCTCGAACCACCGCGGCGCGCTAGGGAGGCCCAGCCCCACCTTCCGCAAGAAGGGCCGCTACTGCAGCGGGCCCTGGAATCGCACCGCCGCCCTGCGCGCTGGCGGGGGATCACGCGCTGCATGCGTGGAGGGGGCGACGTCCTCATCTCCTCAAAGTCACCCAGAGCTAGGCCAACGGCGTCGCCCACAACCGGGCGGCTCCGCAATCTGGGCGAGGTCGCAGGGGGCGGCGCCAGAAGACCTTCGGCATGGCGCCGCAACCCCTCGCCCGGGCGGCGCCCTGCATCGAATCGCGCAGGCGCGCGTCGAACAGGTGCGACGCCAGGGCGCGAGTGTCGCAGCCCGCCGCGCGGGCCACGCCGCGCCTGAGCACCGCGCGGCGCTCCGCCACCCAGCGCGGCGGCACCTGTGTAAACGGCAG